ATACTGTTAGGAGTGATTATACAAGCCTTTCAATGACCGTCTATGTGTGTTGTAACGTTAGATAGATCCCCACCTAATCATTGTTCCGACCCTACAGTTTACGGCCGTCATTGTTATGTACCTTTAATCCCGGAGGAGTATTTCCGTTCAAGTGTATATCGTGTGTTATTGGCTGTTGTATATGGATGCAAGACGTGAAAGGAAATCCATATTTACGCCATAAACTAGAGTCTGTTGTGGGCTGGAAAAGAGATTTATAGACGTGTCCGATTCAATGTTCCACTTTGTCTACAAATCGTCCCGCGACTTGTATTTCATTTCTGGGTTATCGTTATTAAGTTTGTTTTGTTGCCTGTCAGACTGACGTTGTTGTTGCATTCCTATATTAAAACTCACCCACCGTACAATTGCTCAAAGAGACCGGTTATCAATTTCATGTGAATTTTTCGTTCAATTTCTGTTTTATTGGTCATAAAGGCCATTGATATTATGTTCTTCTTCGGCTTTATTTTTTGTGTTTGTCTCGTGGTTTTGCATTATAAGGAGATAAATGTTTTCTGCCAAATTGAATCAATAATCCTGGGACAGGAACTATTAAAACGTGAGGAAATTTTTACTGCACAAATGACAAGATGAAATGTATGGAAGGACTTTCTATGTTTGGGATTAGCTTGGAAAGAGTTTCATTGACTATGTATTTGGTGACGTATTTTGCCTGCAATAAGCCCTCGGTACTGTTTAGTCCATAAAACTTCATGAATTTGATCCTGTCTTTTTTCAGAAATGACCATTTGTCTTTAAAAAAAAATTAAGAAACAAATAGTGACAATTAGGGATGTGCTTGTAATGGAACATAGAATTTTTACTGGGAAAACTTTGGTAATGATGTCCTTGGTAGAGGGCGTGATTGATAGATTCTGTGTATTTACACCTGTTTATTCGTCCATTCTTCTGTCCAGCAAACGTTCGACATCACTTTAAGAAGTTGTTTCATGGGGTTCTTATTTTTTGCGATCACTATTTGCCATGAAAATTCAAATTGCGTAAATAGTAGGTATTTCATACATCTTTACTGTAGCACTAAGTGGTATGGCAGATAGATCTTAAGTCAGCCAGAATTGACAATTTCAGCACATCCATGTAAAATTTGCCTCCCCCCTTTCAAAACCCCAAAAAGTGAGCTGTCTTATGAAACAAAGGGCATATATTAAACAGACCTGTACGATCGTTATAGGAGTTTTACGATACCGCAGCTTGAACCTTTTGTGTAAATGCCATTGTTATTGAATGAAAGAAAAGTTGAAATTTTCAAACACGAAATGCTAGATAGGGCGACAAAATGTTGACTTCTATCGAGTATCGACGTTTCTCAGTTGTCAGTCGAATCAATGACAGATCGACCCATTAAAAACTGTCCCGATACTAGTCCATACACACAGTAGGAACCGTAAGTGAAACACATGGAGTTCTAATTGATTTTTCAAGTAGTTAAGGCAAATGTAAACTTAAAAGGACAAATGCTTGATCATCTACGGTATTTACTCAAGGGATTCAAAATGTTAAGAATCAATATATTTGAGGTAGCTGATTTTATCTCTATCTTGTACATTTGTATCTAGAAATTAATTTTGAATATGTTGTTGCTGTTTGAAGTCCAAATCTATCCACCTTGTCTACAGCTTTTTGCTTCTGTGGTAGTCATGGGGGAAAATTTAGTTCTACTTTTTTCATTAACATATGATTTACATATTTATAACCAATCTGGAAGTGTAAGATACGTTGTCCGACACCCATCCTTTGTGGTATTGCGTGGTAATGGGTTGTGATTTTTTCCCCATCTTGTTGTATATGTTAGTAAAATGCCTGTTATCACAGTATTCATCAGAAAAAAGTTATATTCTATAATGCAGTTTTAAATATATGCAAATTTTAGACTAAATGAACTAAGTTAAGGTGTAGTTGCCATAAATAGTTGATAACTGATTTGTTGACAAAAATTTGTCATGATTTATTGCAAGCTTTAATAAAACTTTTTTAACTAAAAACCCTCTGGTAGATTGATTGTAGACCTAAAACTGGATTGACAAATAAGTTATAACCAAAAAATGTATTTTTTTTACACAAATTCCAAAGGTCTGAGAAACAGATTATCAAACTTTTATATATAAAGTGTGTTATATATGTGTGTAATACTTAGGGGATCACAAGACAACATGCACTTTATTTTCATGGTAACTAATCTTCCAGGACATGTGGACGCCATATTTAACTTCAGCATATATATAACAGGTTTATAATTCTGTGTACATTAATTTCCCTCCTACATTGTACCATCTGAGTCAATCAAGCTCTTTTGATCAATTCCTCTTTGACAATGCACAGTTCTGTCCAAGTTAAACATTCTACTGATTGAGACTTTGCTTCCTTTTGACAATTCTGTTTGAGTCAAACATTTATTTATGCAATTTCGATTCCCCTTGAATTAGTTCCTGCCCGAGTCAAACATGAAAACTCAGCCTCTATACGCCTCCTTTAGATTTTCTGTTTGAGTCAAACCCCTCTGATAAAGTAAAACATGAAAACTCAGCCTCTATACTCCTCCTTTAGATTTTCTGTCTGAGTCAAACCCCTCTGATAAAGTAAAACATGAAAACTCAGCCTCTATACTCCTCCTTTAGATTTTCTGTCTGAGTCAAACCCCTCTGATAAAGTAAAACATGAAAACTCAGCCTCTATACTCCTCCTTTAGATTTTCTGTCTGAGTCAAACCCCTCTGATAAAGTAAAACATGAAAACTCAGCCTCTATACTCCTCCTTTAGATTTTCTGTCTGAGTCAAACCCCTCTGATAAAGTAAAACATGAAAACTCAGCCTCTATACTCCTCCTTTAGATTTTCTGTCTGAGTCAAACCCCTCTGATAAAGTAAAACATGAAAACTCAGCCTCTATACTCCTCCTTTAGATTTTCTGTCTGAGTCAAACCCCTCTGATAAAGTAAAACATGAAAACTCAGCCTCTATACTCCTCCTTTAGATTTTCTGTCTGAGTCAAACCCCTCTGATAAAGTAAAACATGAAAACTCAGCCTCTATACTCCTCCTTTAGATTTTCTGTCTGAGTCAAACCCCTCTGATAAAGTAAAACATGAAAACTCAGCCTCTATACTCCTCCTTTAGATTTTCTGTCTGAGTCAAACCCCTCTGATAAAGTAAAACATGAAAACTCAGCCTCTATACTCCTCCTTTAGATTTTCTGTCTGAGTCAAACCCCTCTGATAAAGTAAAACATGAAAACTCAGCCTCTATACTCCTCCTTTAGATTTTCTGTCTGAGTCAAACCCCTCTGATAAAGTAAAACATGAAAACTCAGCCTCTATACTCCTCCTTTAGATTTTCTGTCTGAGTCAAACCCCTCTGATAAAGTAAAACATGAAAACTCAGCCTCTATACTCCTCCTTTAGATTTTCTGTCTGAGTCAAACCCCTCTGATAAAGTAAAACATGAAAACTCAGCCTCTATACTCCTCCTTTAGATTTTCTGTCTGAGTCAAACCCCTCTGATAAAGTAAAACATGAAAACTCAGCCTTTGCTCCTCTTCCATCACTCCTTATCTGAGTCCACAGTCGAATTCTTTGCTCTAATTTGCTAATTCCATGTCTGTATCAAACATGCTAGACTCAACTGGCTTTACTCCCTTTCGACAATTCTTTGTTTGAGTTACCATGCTAGCTCCACTTCCGCACCCCTTTGATGCAGAAATTTGACTTTAAAGCTTTGATCCTCTTTCACAAATCCCCGTCAAACTTAGCTCTATTCTTTTCCCCTTTAAGACAATGCCTTGTCAGCAACAACAGTATGTTACGAGGAGTTAGTGAACTGTGTATAACAAGCGGATTGAAAGCTGACAGCTAATCATTTAGTAAATTTTTTAAATAAATCCAGGCAATGCTGGAATTGCAAACAGGAAGTGTCAGCTGAGGTCTCTTTAAACCTGCGAGGGGAAATAGAAAATCCAGCTTGACACACAGTAAATAACAATAGCTGGTAATAATGGTCTTAAATCGATATATATGTAGGGGGGGGAAAACGAGGTAAGAAAAATCACTTGTGTTCACTTAACATTGCATCACAGTTACTAATGTGAAATTTATTGGTGGATTGTTAATCCCTCACTCCACTGAGACATGTGGGAATCGAGGAACGTAAAAGGGGCGTTTTTTATACGAGAGTCGTATTTTCGCCATTTTTCAACATGTTCCTGGAAGATTCACTGTCGGTTAATTAATGAATTAAACACTACATTTAATTGTTGGAGCTGAGATTTATGTAACGATTTTAGTGGCGTTGTTTTCCTTATAATGGAAAAACACAATAACAATTTAGTCTGATATATTGCTTAAAGAAGTTGTTTGATAGCTACCGAAGGTCGCCACAGAGAAATGGGCACCGATTTCTGAGAATTAAAACGAGCGGTTAGGTTTTAATTTGGTTATATTAACTGCAGCTTCCAAAGAAGGCGTATTTGGTCGGCTCTCTGCCATCGCTTCTTGTGTGGGTTGTAATGTTTCAACTCTTTAAATCGACATCGGGGTTACTTCATAGGGTAAGACTTTAAAAGTCATAAGTAGCGTTTTCAATATAAATCAGTCATGATATCTAAGAATGTTTTAATGAAATAGATTCTATATATTTTCCTGCAATTGACGATACAAATCAAAAAAATAAGCTCTTAGAAAATAGGTCTAATTTGTGGGTGGCTTGAAGACACATTGTATGTGTCGAGTTTATTATTTATGAAACTTACTGATGCATTAAAACAAAAAATTACGAAGGTTCATTATTTTGTTATGACTGATTACAAATACTGAATTCGGAGTTGCTTGATTGTAAGATTAAATGTAGAAAACTGTTCGGATTCTTCAGCAAAATTTTAATGTGATCAACAATATATATGTGCTATGTCGGTTTTCCTGGTGTTTAATTTCTTTTTGGTTTATTGCAGTACCTCTATGACGACGCGGTGAAGATGGATTTGAGGTAAGACCTACTTTATTTTTACTTGTCATTAACGATGTCTAGATACAACTGTTGACGTTTAAACCCACTTTGCTGTGTTGTACTACTTCCTAATACATTAAACAGCATTAAACTAATTCCATGATCCCATAAAATTAAGATACATATTTCATGTTTATTTATTTTTTTAATTGCACATGTGATCATAATATTCTGTTGAATTAAAATGATCTTCAAAGACCCAAAATTTCTGATAGCTTAAAAATGTTTGTTTGATCAAATTTTCTGAAATCGAAATGAGAATTTTATTTATAAGGAAAGCAACTTCATACAAAGGATTCATAAAAGTACAAATATATGTTCAATGTTGTTTTCAGTATTCATTAACCAATTTTAAAATTTGTGAAATATTTTTTTTCAAAAGCGGTATATATTTCTAAAGAATGGAAAATTTTGCAAAATTCTTGTCATTGCTGTGCCAGCCCCATCTACATCCACCATTATTTCTATTATCTTTATTAGAAATGACGGAGTGGATTCACATAAGAAAACATGATGATGTTCGACATAAATCAGAATCAGTGAAAATTTGTGAACAAGCTATTCATTTGTTTTCCCACAAACTTTTAATCTTCCAGTTGATTGGTTAAGCTATCGTCAGTAGTTACATAAAATTGTCAATTTAATAACCACTTTCCTATATTATTATAACTGACTCTGTCCTATATGTTAATATAACTAGCACTTTCCGATTGCGAAGGTAAGTTTGAAAAATTACTTTCAGGTGAAAAATTGTTCATCATTTGACTGATGTATGTGTTTCGTTGTGAGATATTTTGCTTTATAAAAGTGATCGTTAATGATAATTAATCGTAATGATAGTATAATAACGTCGATAAAACCTCTTCTGCAATTAAGAGCTTATGTTCAGGAAGTAATACTTACAAACCAAGAGAGATAGGACTTGTGTGCATGTGTGGGCTTACAAATCTCTTTAGTATTGTGTCCATGATCAGCACGCACCTGTGTGTTATTTAAATTTACGAAGACAGTCGTTAACGAGAATGAACGTAAATTTCAATCTGAAATGCGAAATATGAACAAATTTGTGTCTCAAAATTTTCCGTTAGGTGTTTATTTAGAAAATTTGCGTCGGAAATATTTTAGGAATGCATTTAAGTTTCTATTTTCTTAATTGAAAATTTCATGTTTTTGCACCTTTTTGAAGATGAAAGGAAAATTGTACTTGTGTTTTTTTTCTCTCCTGTAAAACCTACCTGTTCTTTTACCTATACAACAAGTTTTTGAATCTACCAAACCGATTTCAAGAAAAAATTCAGTAGTTCATTTAACCTGAAAAATAACTGGAAATTAAATCTTTTTTTTTTTTGCTTGTTCTTTTTCACTTTAAAGAATTGAAAGGCCTAGATATATGTAAACAATTTACCTGTTTACAAACATACCAGTCAACTAGTTGCTGCTCATCGCCAATGAGTTAAATTTCAATTTTGATTTAATCATTAATTGCTCAAAAGCAAACTTTTACTTTGTACGTTTTTTCATGGTCGGATGTTTCCGGCTAAATAACCCTGATATGTTTACATTCATGTTGATTTCTGTTTTGTAAAGGTAATTTTTCAAGCACAGGTAGATTTTTATCCTCCCCATCTAAAAATAAAATAGCCTCTTTCATTTAATTTTAGATTTTCCACTGAAGTTTTAATGCTTGATGTCCTGTAAATAAAAACAACTGCTTGTAAAAGACTTTTCTATGCGTTTTGAAATGTACTTTTCAGTTTGATCATGCACTTTTCAGATGAACTTAAAAAAGATCGTGCACTTTTCAAGTGAATGTATAAGATCATGCCATATATTTAAGTCTAAGGAAAAATTGTTACTGACAAATTCATTTTGAAGTGAAATTGAATTTGATTTATTTAGTGTTTTATCATGTTGAGAAGAAGGGAAAACAAATAATTTATATGTACCAAACAAATATAAAATTCCCTCTGCTTTTTCTGTGAACAAGGTACGATGAATAATGATCCTTTTGAAAGTAATTTGTGAAATTCTAAATATGTTTTCTTTCAGTTTTCTGTAAATGTTTCTTATATTTTGTTTTTAATGAGAGTGATGAGAATATTTTTGTCTACTGATGCAAATAATTCATTTGTTAATACAGCAATATGTATTTTTGAAAGCACCATAGGAAACTCTGCAGAATTTAATACAATATTTTTCTGAAAAATTTATATACAGTACCAAGTCTTAGGTTAACTTCAGCATTTATTACTCACATGTATAAACTTTGATCTGGAATTTAACAAAAGTGTATATAAAAAAATGACCCAATTTAAAAAATATGCTTTTATTTAATTAAAAAGTGAGATCCATAAGACACAGAAGTTTTTTTAATTGTTTATAAGCCATAAAATCTGTTTTACAACTGCTGGTAGATGTTACTTTATAAAAAGAATACCTTATTAGCTCCTAAACTTAACAAGTGGCTCCTATGAACCATGGGCTCAAGTTTAATAAACCATACAATATGTTAATTACTACTGAGAAGGACAATATTAATAAACAAATTAAGATATGACCAATCGGACATGGCCTAGATGATATCTTTTTGACAGCTAGGTGTAACACAGGTAAAATGATAGTAAGGAAATGTTGGATTGTCAGTCATGCTCAAAGGATATTTTAAACATGATTTGGTTTTTATATTTGTGAACATGTTTCGGTTTTATAGTGGATTATTAGTGAGATATGTATGTTGCAATGTCTGTGAAAGAGAAGAGGTTGAGAGAAGGGAAGTAACTCCCAATAAAACAAGCAATGCTTTTTTTCTCCCCAAGCACAAATACTTGTAAATGAAAATCCAAGTGCAACTCTAAAGGTTGCCATGGTTACAAGATAGCTGATGCATATTAAAAATACGTTATAAATATGCTGTATTCATGTATTTTTTATAAACACACAGGAAGTTGGACGAAGATAAAGCTTTAAATATTTCAAGCTTTTCTTCCATTATCAAAAACAATGTGTAAAATGCTATCTTATTTGAAAAATTGTTGAAATGAACGGTATTTTGTAGAAATTTTCCTAAAGGTTGATATTATATCTTCTCCTATCCTGCAAAATATCGTTCATCGTCAAATCTCTCAAAATTTCCTCTTTTTAGATGCTCATAATAAATTTTAAATGTNTACCTAAATAGAAGTAACTTTTTTGTAACTTTTTTCGGTATGGGTTTTGGGTGAATTGTTTTGCGACTGTCATACACGATTCAGAAAATGTAAAGTATATAGTCATTTTTTTCTGAGATACAGTATGCATAGTATTGAAAATGCATATGAGCAGGTTATAAGTGTGTAAACTCATTGAATTGATCAAACTTGTTATTTAATTTGGTCTATAAGAGACAGGTGGGTTATCAGTGCTTTAAGCATTCAAGAAACCTACTGATGATCATTGGCATTGTTTTGGAAAATGAAAATAAATTGACAAATTTTTCATTTAGATTTTTACTGTTATCTGTTTTAGAATGAAATAAATGTACTTATTATTACTTCTACATGGGAAATATGAGAAATTATCATCAAATAAGAGTTGTTTTTCAATGCTGAAAATTAGTACTTTCCTCCGATTCCTGACTCACTCTCTCTGAAAGTTTTTTTCTTTTCCGGAATGCATGTTGTGTCACTCTCTTTTTAATAAATCAAGATTTAACATTTTTTATTAAGACAAAAGTTTTTAGGGTTCTGTTCTCCTAGATAATTTAACCAATTTCATTGACACCAATATTCTACATGAATTCATCCAAATCTTTCATTGAATACAGCTTTTAGCTGAAAGAGAATTCAGATTTATCAAATAAGGTTACATCAGGAACAGTCTGATGACCGCAGTGTACTCATCGCAGTGTACTCGTGATATGTGGTTAATGATATTTTGTTTGTGTTGGGCTTGAACAGCTAGGGCTTGACCGGGGTCACATATTGTATATAAATATAACCTGTAACAGGAAAACAGTTTATCTGTACCAGTTAACAAAGCATCATCAACTTGCTGACCTGTTCTTATAATTTTTAAATTTAGGACATTTCATCAATATTTAGAATTAAATGTTCTAGAATTCAAAAATGTTCACTTACAGTTTAGAATCATAGAAATTCTGATATTTTTTTGAGACGCATTCGAAAAAAACCTGAGAATTCTTTTTTGATATGTCAAGCTAACAAAACCAGTGAAAGTCGATGCCACATACATAATTATGTTTGTAGAAATTGAACGCAGATCACTATATATATATAATAATCAGATCACTATATATATAATAATCAGATCACTATATATATAATAATCAGATCACTATATATATAATAATCAGATCACTTATCAGGGATGTGTTAATTTGTTCGTCATTCTATTGTCCAGACTCTGATTTTCTATCATTGTTGACATGGTATTCTATACGATCTGTTTATATATGATGAACCGGAGTTCTATATAGCAGTACCTATATATCCTCGGAGATATTTGCCTGGTGAGTATATATATAGTATTTACCAGGAATACATTGTGTAGGTAGGGTTTATTTTATGATCATATTATGGACTGTTGTTTAAAATGACTTTTGCCGTTTTTGCTATTACATAATATCAGAAATTATTCATTTACCTTTTCACCGCTGTAGACCATAAAGGACTCACCCATATCAGTACATGGAAGAGTCTACTAAAGTTACATAGTAGTGAAAGGGTTAAAATAAATATTCAGTTTAACTCAATCACCCCTAAAATTTCACAATGAAATCTACCAAGCTTTGAATTGGAAGAGTTTAATGTGTCTTCTGGGGTGAATGAGTTTAACTGTAAAAACTGAAAAACGTTGATGAAAGTGACATTTAACTTGGTCCCCATGTACAGTTTAATCTGCCTAAACAGAACTTTTTCGTTTTTAGGTCACCTGAGACAAAGTCTCAAGTGACCTGTTGCGATCACCTTTTGTCCATCGTC